TCCTTCAGCTCTTCAGCTCAAGCACTAGCTCTACCACTTGAATCACAGCGCCACTTCCGGGTTTTTTCTTTTTGCTTATGTGGTGCTGAGGAATTGAACCCAGGGCCTCATGCATGCAAGGCAAGCGCTCCACCACTGAGCCAACTTCTCAGCCCATAAATTTTCATAATATTCTGAAACATAGTTGTTTTGCTGTTACTTTGGTTTTGTTTTTTTGTGGGTTTTTTTCTTTGAGATGGTCTTGCTGTGTAGCTCAGGCTAGCCATGAACTCAGTATGTAACCCACTGGAATCAGACCCGCAATTCACCTCCATCTGCCTCTGAGTGCTGGGATTCCAAGGGTACCACTTCAGTTCTTAAGTGACTTTCAAATGAAAGACCAAAACCAACATGTAGTATGACCTCCCTCAGAACAGTGTCAATTATTTCTTTTATTCTGAAGAAATACTTTTGGGGGTTAGAAATCCTGCATCATCAATAAGAGGATAAAAAAACCTAAAAGAATGGTTGATATTCTACATTTTAAATAAGAATTCCTGTAAGATTTGAAAATATGGTCTATGATTTATATCACATTTCTAGAAACTGGATCAAAGTTTATTATTATGAAGGTTCCCCAGTATTTATCCTAATAGCTTTAGGTTTTTTTGGTATTCATTAGTTTGGAAAAACGAAAAATGAGATGAAGAGAGTACAACTGGGACAGTCCTCAGAGTATGTAAATGTAATGCTAAGATAAGGATCTTCACACACAGCCTTGTGTGTGATCTACCAATTCCACCGAAATGCTTCCAAGAAAACATTTCTAGAAACCAAAAAGGGACTCATTCTGAAGAGAGTTTACGTCCCAATCAGACAATAATTTTATTAGAAGCTGGGCATGGTGGAGCATGCCTGTAGTCCCAGCTACTTAGCTGAAGAATGAGGATTGCTGGAGCCCTGAAGTTCAAGGCCAGCCTGGACATTATAGCAAGACATCTCCAGGGAAGCTGAGGGTAGAGCTCAAGAGGCAGAGTATTTGGCTACTATGCCCAGGAGACTCTGTATTCAATTCCGGGAACAGTTCTCCCACTCCAAATAAAAGTCTTCAGAAACCTGCTCATTTGCTGCAGTTCTTAAATACGTTGCAATTTAGTTTAGCTCTATTGCTACAGGCTGCCTTTTACTCTTATTGACATCCTCATCTAACAACACAGGATTCAGAAACATAACTTACTTTAACTCCTCAATTCTTTGTGATAGTTTGTGATGTTTCAAAGCAACTTCAGCTACAGAAATCAATACACAATAATTGAGTTGCTGAGTTTTAAGAAGTCTATATGCCTAGAGAGACAATAACTTTATCAAAAAACAATCTTGGCCCAACTTGCAAATTTAAAAAGGAAAAATTACATTTGAAGAAAAACTCTTCTGAAGTTGAATGAGAAAACTTCAAATTGAAGTAGCTAGCATATAGAGTTTTAGTTGAGAGAGAGAGAAACAGGTAGTTAAGAGTAACTTTCGCTAGAAGCAAGCTCATTGAGGAAAAGGGGTAGGGACAGGAAAGGGACGAATACTGCAGTTCTAGTGGCCTCAACCCCTTCTGAAAGCACGTGTTCTGGTTGGACATTAAAATATTCTGATTCACACTGGATGTCCCAAGCCAAATGAAGAAAAAAAAAAAAAAGGCCAACTGACCAACTGAAAATGTTTAAAGAAAAAAAATATGAGACCTCATGAATTAAATGATAGGATGGATTTTAAAAGAACAATTAAGACATTAGATGACTTTTACCAAAAAAAGAAAAGAAAAAAAAAACAAAGTAGAATTAAAAGAATTCATCTTTGCATGTTGTGCTCACAAAGGGAGAGGAGGTCCCATCAAGCCCTGCAGAACATAAGAAGCAGGCTGCTTTTGCTCAGGCATCAGGAGAAATAGGCACCGAAGGAACTACCCTCAGCTTCTTCTACATCGTGTCGAGGAAGGAAAAGCAAAGCTGCAAAATGTTGAAGGTTTTAGAAGTGTAACGGTGCTTAGGAAAAACCACTGGTCTGGTGGTGCAGCAGCCCCAGGGTTGAGACACACGCTAGGCTTCTAGGAGAAGAAAAATAGAAAAGGGAGGAAGGAGGAGGAAGGGGAAAGGAAAGGGCGGGAAAGCACAGGTCATTAGTAAATAGCAAACGTTCAACATCGCAAAGATGCTCATAAACCCCTAATACTCTCTTCTCAAGTGGAGCTCTTTAGGACTGAAATGGGAAATTCCCAACCAGATACTCAGTGATGGTCAAGTCAGAATCAAACTCATACCATGCTCACAACACATGCACCCTTCACCCCCCACCCTACTTCCTCCCTCCTCCAATGAAACTTGCAGTTCCCAGTAAACTATCTGCTTTAAGACAGCGTACAAAAAGGTCAAACTCAGAACCCAAATAACTCAGATGTGAAAACTGTATTATCCCAAAGGATAGAGAAATAGCCTACAACGACGACACAAAAACAAAAAACCTGCTCTCCTAATATCCCAAGGTAGGTCTTTATTTTATTTTATTTTATTTTTGGCTGTGGGGTCTTAACTCTGGGACTGGGTGCTGTCCCTCAGCTCTTCAGCCCAAGGGTAGTGCTCTACCACTTGAGCCACAGCACCACTTCTAGTTTTCTGGTGGTTCATTGGAGAATAAGAATCTCACAGTCTTTCCTGCCCGAGCTGGCTTTGAACCAGGATCCTCAGATCTCAGCCTCCTGAGTAGCTAGGATTATAGGAGGGAGCCACCAGCACCCAGCCACACTGCAAATTTTTATACCCACTTTCCTCCCTGTATTATTAAGATTTGATATAGCTGCATTAAGTCACTTACAGTTAAATTTGGCATCTGGCTAGGGAAGAACCCTAACCTAGTTTCGGTAGTTGCTTCCTTCCTGGGCCACAATGGCTTCCATTCTAGTTAATCAAATAGAAAGTGGAATCTATTTTTTTTAAAGTTTGTTATTTGAGCTGCTGCTTTTTCCATCATTGGAATATTTGCAAATCATGCAGATGACTTTGCTTTCAAAGCAGTGGTAGAAACAGTATTGTATCTGATTATGATTAGCCAAGAAGTTTTAAAGGAAGATATACAGGCATTTCCAATTGTTTCTACTCTTTAAAGTAAAGGGTATATGATTTATAAGTTCTAGGTAAAGGTAAAGTTAACATTCACAACCAATAGAATCAAGCATCAATTCCTCTGAGGTACAAAAATATATACCACTTTTTTTTTGGGGGGGGGTCGGTTGTGGGGCTTGAACTCTGGGCCTGGGCGCTGTCCCTCAGCTCTTCAGCTCAAGGCTAGCGCTCTACCACTTGAGCCACTGCACTACTTCCAGTTTTTCTAGTGGTTTATTGGAGATAGGAGTCTCACAGTCTTTCCTGCCTGGGCTGACAGATCCTCAGATCTCAGCCTCCTGAGTAGCTGTGATTACAGGCATGAGCCACCAGCACCCGGCTACCACATTTCTTAAGGTCGCCGAATAAGGAGTAGAGCCCTGAATAACTGCTATTGCTAATAGGAGGCTTTTAGGATGCCTTCAAAACACCTTCAAAAATCGGAGCTGGGAATGTAGCTCAGTGCTAGAGTGCTTGCCTAGCAAGCATGAAACCCTGGGTTCAATTCCTCAGTACCACAATATAAACAGAAAAGGCCGGAAGTGGTGGTGTGGGGCTCAAGTGGTAGAATGCAAGCCTTAAGCAAAAGAAGCTCAGGGACAGTGCCCAGGCCCTGAGTTCAAACAAAGAACTCAGCAATCTTGTGGTGGGGCTCAAGAAAGACCTTTCATGGCTTAAGTATTTGTGTAAGAATTGAAACATAAAAAGTGTCTTCTGCTGGCCTCCACTGGAATCATCTGAATCAAATATTATACCCCAGAGTAAAGAGCACACTGAGCTGAGAGCGCATGTGCTTGAGCAGCCGAAGCTAGCTCATTTGGGTCAACAGTATCAGCCTGATCACAACTGCAAATGAAGTGCAGCTATTTATAAAAAGACAACACATGGCTCTCACACATGCTCCCTAAAGAAAAGATTTATATAAGACATTCCCCTTTGGACAGATTCCTGATCTGGCTTTTGCTCACTACAAAGACCTTGGAGCAGGTGGTTAGTTAGCTGGTTATGAGGTAAGAACTCATAGGAACACAGTACAAAAGGATCATCAACGTAATAATAATAATAGGCTAAGAGTTAAGAGACAAATTTCAAAGCCAAAAGTTAAGGCAAAGATAAAAGAACAGACTGAGAGCAAAATACAAAGGAAAGCACTTGTAAAGCATTGCTCACACGTTTCCTAATATTGGGCTTTGGAAAGCACACTTAGTGTAGTGTAGAGTACATTCAGGGTTGCAACTTGCTTTAGCTTTAAGGAGTTGTAGAGGCAAAATGTTTTCTGTGTAACAATAGGATGCATCTATAAAGAGTACTTTTGATGTAGATTCAGTTTTTGTGAGATGCAACTCTAATAAACACTCAAGGGATATCAAAGAAATTTATTCTTCCTTTAGCACTATAAAAGGAAGTATGGCAGTTAGTCAAGTGTCAGCAATTCATGCCTGTAATCCTACTACTCAGGAGGCTGAGATATGAGGATCTCAGTTTAAAGTCAGCTCAGGCAGAAAAGGCAGTAACACTCTAAACTCCACCAAACCACCAAAATGCCAGAAGTGGAGATATGGCTCAAGTGGTAGAGCATCAATCTTGAGGTGTGTGGAGGGCGGAGCAAGAGCATGGGGCTCAGAGTTTAAGCCTTAGAACCAGAACCAAAAGCAAAAAGATTTGTGGCAGACACTCTGGGTCTACATACCTTCAACAAAAACAACAATGTCCTTAGAAAAACTTAAATGCCAGTATGTTCACAAATAAAATTAAATTAAAAAAAAAAAGAAAAACTTAAATGCTTCCATTAACAATCCTCCTCAAAAGAGCTATCAAGGTGTTTAATTGTGAATGTTTCATTTATATATTTGGGGGTTCCAGGGAACCACTTACCTGTAGTATTTATCTCTTCTATTCCATGATCACCATTGGCTAGAACTGTTGGTTTGGAAGCTGAAGTACCTGCAACAATTACAAAAAATAATTACCAGGCTGGAATGTGGCTTAGTGGTAGAGTGTTTGCCTTCTATGCACGAAGCCCTGGGTTCTATTCCTCAGTACCACATAAACAGAAAAGGCTAGAAGTAGTGCTGTGGCTCAAGTGGTAGAGTTCTAAACTTGAGCGAAAGAAGCTCAGGGACAGTGCCCAGGCCCTAGTTCAAGGCCCAGAACAGAAAGAAGAAGAAAAAAAAAATTTACCCACTGAAAGGAATAGGAAAATGAAACCTGGAGTCAACTACCATTTTGCTAGTAGAATTCTGTCTATTCTTCACAAAGTTAGCTTAAAATACATAAAAACTATTCAATAGTTAAAACTTCAATAAAAGATAAATGAAAAATAGAACTGAATTATTCATTCTCACTGCACTATGGTTGGTCTGTTAAGTACCACTGTAACATATCTGGAGTTAGGCTTTGCATATGGAAGGTCTTAGTTTGTATTTCTGTACAGGGATTTCCAAACATTTAACAGTATTGATTGAAAAGATTATACTGAACTGCTTATGCAAATATGCGATGGTGTGGAAAATCAATTATAAGTGTGTCTATTTCTGGGTTTTCTATTCTTTCTTTAGCTATTCTAGCTAGTTAGACACTATCTTAATTATTTATATTATACTAAGGCAAATAAGACGATCTAAGTCCTCTAACTTGGGTCCCCACCACCACCATGCCCCAATTCTGGGGCTTGAACTCAGGGACTGGGTGCTGTCCTTGAGCTTTAATATTCAAGGCTAGTGCTCTAACACCTTGAGCCATACCTCCATTTCTAGCTTGTGGTGGTTAATTGGAGATAAAAATGTTTCCTGCCTGGGCCAGCTTCAAACCATGATCCTCAGATCTTTTCCCCCAGAGTGGCTAGGATCACAGGCGTGAGCCACAGGCACCCAGCCAATTTGGGTCATTTTTTTTAAATTTATTAATTTACTTTCTTTTCTTTTCTGGTACTGGGGATCGAACCCAAGACATTGAAAACTGCCTTATTTCTATGCTTTTCCTGTCAGAATCAGTTGCTGAATTATACCAAAAAGGAATCTTGATGAAATATGATTTGCAATTCTGCCAATATATATAAGCCAATTTGGAGATGTACAACCTTTTCTGAGAAGCTCTGACTACATCTAACATTTCGACAATCTGCCTACCTCTCTACCAGCCTGCTAAACAAATAGTTCCCAATGAATCACTGTCAAAGGATGTTTTTCATAATTAGAGTGAAAATCTATATCCAGGTGCTGGTAGCTCACATCTTTAATCATAGCTAGTTGGGGAGGCTGAGATCTAAGGATCCAGGTTCTAAGCCAGCATGAACAGGTGAAATCTGTGAGACTCATATCTCTACTAAAACTACCAAAAATGCCAAAAGTGGAGCTGTGGCTCAAGTGCTATCCTTGTGGAGAAAAACTTAGTAGCCAGGCCTGCCAGTGGCTCATGCTGGTCATCCTAGCTACTCAGGAGGCTGAGATCTGAGGATTGTGCTTCAAAGCCAGCCCAGGCAGGAAAGTCTGTGAGACTCTTGTGAGACTCTTATCTCCAATAAACCACCAGAAAACTGGAAGTGGTGCTGTGGCTCAAGTGGTAGAGCGCTAGCCTTGAGCTGAAGAGCTGAGGGACAGCGCCCAGGCCCAGAGTTCAGGCCCCATGACCAGACTCCCCACACACACAAAAAAAAAAAGAAAAAAGAAAGAAAGAAAAACACATAGTACTGAAAATATCATTTTGGGGGGAGGGGGCGCGGGTTGCTCATGGGACTTGAACTCCAGGCCTGGGTATGCTCCCTGAGCTCTTCTGCTCTAGGCTAGCATTCAACCATTTTGAGCCACCTTGTTTTCTGGTAGGTAAGAGTCTCACAGCCTTTCCTGCTTGGGCTGGCTTTGAACCAAGATTCTTGGATCTCAGCCTCCTAAGTAGCTAGGATTATAGGCATGAGCCACTAACGCCCAGCCAAAATTCCACATTTAAAAAAAAAAAAAAAAGTAACACTCTCCTCTGAGACATAAGGCTATTCAAAATTACTTTTTAAATTCTTCCTCTTAAGGCTATTCAAAATTACTTTTTAAATTCTTCCTTGTCAAGAGATTTCAAGTTCCCACACCTGGAAAATCAACCCAGCAAAGAAGGGAAGTAGCAAAAAGCTAAGAGGCATGCGTGCTATGAGGAAGAGAGACAGAACTCCTCTCCAGACAAAAGCAGTCTCAACCTTCAGTATTAAGTCTCTTCAGTATTGTCAGGCACATGCACACACTGCCCACTAGTGGTCAATTTGGTTGTTTGCAAAGTGCCTTGAAAGGGCTCAATCAGTTGAACAAAGAAATTCTGCTGTATATCTTAGCTATCCTCATTACTTAAGCCCCTTCATCTCCACTAATGTTTGTCAACCTCATATGTGCATGTAAGTCATCTGTAAGGCCTGTTATAACATATTTAAAGGGAGAGATGACATTGACCAAGAAGCACTGTACTCATACTGACTTACAGAATTATAACCTATTTGTACAACTATTAATAACCATTAAAAATATATAATATGTATAAGATGTATAGCTGAATATATATTTATATTATATATATATTATATTTTGGGGGGTGGGTCTCATCACCATAGAGTTCTGATTCTGTGTGTGCTTAAGACTTAAACTTTGAAGCCAGCACTGGTGGCTCACGCCTATAATCCTAGCTACTCAGGAGACTAAGATCTGAGCATCGAGGTTCAAAGCCAGCCCGGGCAGGAAAGTCTGTGAGACTCTTATCTCCAATAAACCACCAGAAAAGCAGAAGTGGCGCTGTGCCTCAAGTAGTAGAGCGCTAGCCTTGAGCTGAAGAGCTGAGGGACAGTGCTCAGTCCCAGAGTTCAAGCCCCACGGGCGACAAAAAAAAAAAAAAGAAGACTTATACTTTGATGGCTAGGAAAGTGACTTAGTGGTAAAGTGCTGGCATGCATGAAGCTCTGGGTTCCATTCCTCAGTACTACATAAATAGAAAAAATGGAAGTGGTGCTGTGGCGCTAGTGGTAGAAAGCACTAGCCTTGAGCACGGAGAGGCTCAGGGACAGAGTCCAGGCCCTGAGTTCAAGCCCTAGGACTAGCAAAAAGAGAAGAAGAAGAATTATACTTGGGGGCTGAGAAGGTGGCTCAGTGGTAGAGTGCTTGCCTTGCATGCATAATAATCAATTCCTCAGCACCACATAAGCAGAAAAAGCTGGAAGTGGTGCTGTGGCTCAAGTGGTAGAGCGCTAGCCTTGAGCTGAAGAACTCAGGGACAGCACCCAGGCCCAGAGTTCAGGCCCCACGACAGACCAAAAAAAAAAAAAGCTGAAGAAAAAGGCCTTGTCTGTTCCTGAAGAAAAAAAATTAACTAAATAATACAGTATTATCCACAGAAAAGACTTACAACAATGACAAATCTACTAACAACAAACACCCACAACATGTACATTATACATTATGAGCTTGAAATACCATTTCACACTGTAAAAAAAAAAAAAAGCAAAAAATAAGCCTTCTTGGGGAAATAGATGTTTTCTGGTTTGAAAGAGGAATTGTAGCAGGCACTGGTGGCTAACACCTGTAATCCTAGCTACTCAGGAGGCTGATACCTGAGGATCACAGCTTAAAATCAGCCCAGGCTGGAAAGTCCATGAGACTCTTGTGAGACTCTTATCTCCAATGGACCACCAGAAATCTGAAAGTGGCACTATGGCTAGAGTGTTGGAGTACTAGCCTTGAGCTGAAGAGCTGAGGGACAGCTCCCAGGCCCAGAGTTCAAGCCCCAGGACCGACCAAAAAAAAAAGGCCTTTCTCAGTGCAAAAGTTAAGTCTGACAATATAATACAATAAGTCTACATTGTATTAGGTCATCTAGAAATGACCGAGGTATAAGAGGGGATGTTATAGCCTCACAGTCATACAGTAAAGGGTAATGAGTCTCCTTTCTTGGATTATAACAGGGAAACTTAATTAAACAGAGTTTTACTAGTCTATACTAAAAAACTCAGTTTCCTTAACGTTTCTAAATTGTGACACAATGTGTAATCCCAAATTTACACTCTAAATACATACATCCAGGGCTAGAAATGTGGCTTAGTGGTCGAGTGCTTGCCTTCCATGCATGGAGCCCTGGGTTCGATTCCTCAGTACCACATACACAGAAAAGGCCAGAAGTGGCACTGTGGTTCAAATGGTAGGGTGGTAGCTTTGAGAAAAAGCATCTCAGGGATAGTGCCCAGGCCCTGAGTTCAAGCCCCACGACTGGCAAAAAAAAAAAAAAAGAACAGAACAAAACAAACCCACATATACCCAATTAGGCTTATGTACTGACCTTCAGCCTGGCTAGTATCTGAGCCTGATTTCTTCTTTTTCCCAGTTTTCTCATCAACATCCATGAGGGGAATATATTCCCTTTTTCCAACTGTTTCCCCCACAACATCATCATAGGCCTCGGCCTCTAGGGTGGCAATGAAGTCCCGCTTTATCTCTTCCTCAATTTCTGGAGGCGGCTCTGTTAATGCATCCGCGAGACTCAGGTCAGCCATTTTGCACTGCAAATGCCTGTGAAAACGCAGAGGTGTTTGCTATGAGTACCAATGAATAGAAAAGAAAAAACTTAAGAAACTAGAAAACTCTAGATCCAAACGAGGCTTCCTTTTTCAAAAGATGAGGAAAAATAAAAGCTCAGAAATAGTTTGCTTTTTTCTTATATCTTCAGGAGGAAGACAAAGCAAGAGATACTTTGATGTTTTTCTATTTTTTTTTTGGGGGGTCCGGTTGTGGGGCCTGAACTCTGGGCCTGGGCACTGTCCCTCAGCTCTTCAGCTCAAGGCTAGCACTCTACCGCTTAAGCCACAGCACCACTTCCGGCTTTTTTCTTTTTGCTTATGTGGTGCTGAGGAATCGAACCCAGGGCCTCAGGCATGCAAGGCAAGCACTCTACCTCTGAGCCACCTTCCCAGCCCTTGTTTTTCTTAATAAGGAAAATAGTTTATCCAAAGTAAGATTCAAATCAAGTTGTTTGATTTCAGGTCACATACCTTTTCAATTAAACCATTTATCTTCATTTCCAAATCAGGTCCTAGAAAAAATTTTTAAAGAATATACAGAAAGGGGGCTGGGAAGGTGGCTCAGTGGTAGAGTGCTTGCCTTCCATGCATAAGGCCCTGGGTTCGATTCCTTATCACCACATAAGTAGAAAAAGCTGGAAGTGGTGCTGTGGCTCAAATGGTAGGAGTGCTAGCCTTAAGGGCAAGGAAGGAAGGGAGGGAGAAGGGGAAGGAGGGAGGGAGGAAGGGAGGGAGGAAGGGAGGGAGGAAGGGAGGGAGGGAGGGAGGGAGCCAGGCACCAGTGGTTCACTCCTGTAATCCCAGCTACTCAGGAGGCTGAGATCACAGTTCAAAGCCAGTCCAGATAGAAAAATCCATGAGACTCTTACTTCCAATAAACCACCAGAAAACCAGAAGTGGTACTATGGCTCAAGTGGTAGAGCACTCCCCTTGAGCTGAAGAGCTGAAGAACAGCACCCAGGCCCAGAGTTCAATCCCCACAACTGACCCAAAAAAAATAAAAATAAAAGATCATATTAATAGCCAGGGGCCAGTAGCTCATGTCTATTATTATCTGTTGCTGGGCAACAGTGGCTCATGCCTATAATTCCAGCTACTCAGAAGGATGAGATCTGAGGATTATAGTTCAAAGGCAGCACGAGAAGGAAAGTCCTAAAGACCTTTATCTCCAATTAAGCATCAAAAAAGCCACAAGTAGAGCTGTGGCTCAAGTGGTAGAGTGCTGGCCTTCAGCAAAAAAGCTCAGGGGAGTTCAAGCTCTAGACACACACACACACACACACACACACACACAAGGTGTCCAGACACACACACACACACACGGTGTCCATATCAAGCTCTAGACACACACACACACACACACACACACACACACACACACACACACCCACACACACACACACACACACACACACACACACACACACACACACACACACGGTGTCCATATTCCCCTACTCATTTGCAGCAAAATTCCAAACAGCCAAGATAATGAAACTTAAGTATGTCATAGATGGACACTATAATTAGGATAGTATTCTTCATAGTATCCCACAAAAGTCCATGTGTTAAAGCTTGGTCCCCAGCTTGGCACATTCCAGCCCTAGTTTTTTGAATTCAATAATCAATCCCACAAAAGGCCTGTTGTTTGTTTTTGTTTTTGCCAGTTACTGGGTCTGGGCCCTGTCCCTGAGTTCTTTGCTCAAGACTAGTGCTCTACCTCTTTTGAACTACAACGCCACTTTCAGTTTCTGAGTGATTAATAAAGAGTCTCAGGGATACTTTTCTGCCTGGACTGGCTTCGAACCATGATCCTCAAATCTCAGCCTCCTGAGTAGTTTGGATTACAGGTGAGACACTAGCAACTGGCCTGTTTCCTTGCTAGGCAACAAAGAGTCTTAAATACTTAAGTTGGGTCTTTCATGGCTTTTAGGAATGGCTTATCTGGCACTTTTTTTTATTATTTAAATAATTTTGCCATGTCAGTAAGATATTTAGGTTCAGGTAATTTAAGATCATAAGGGCAGTTGGGCACTGGTGGCTCATGCCGGGAATCCTAGCTACTCAGGATTTGAAGCCAGCTGGGGCAGGAAAAGCCTCGAAACTCCTGTCTCCAATAAATTACCAGAAAACTAGAAGTGGCGCTGTGGCTCAAGTGGTAGAGCACTCGCCTTGAACTGAAGAGCTGAGGGACAGCACCCAGGCCCAGAGTTCAACACACACACACACACACACACTATAAGGACACAAGATGTAACATAGTATAAGAATGTTTGCCAAGCACGTACAAAGTCCTGTGTTCAAATTTCAAAACTAAAAATTAATTAATAAAATTTTAATGAGATAACAAGCCAAAACTGATGATAAAATGGACTAGAACCAAGAGACAACCCATGGAATAAGAGAAAAACTTTGCTACTAAACAGATAAAGGATTAATAACCCAGAATATACAAAGAACTCAAAAAATTAAACAGCCAAGGACCAAAGAATCCAATTAATAAATGGTGAGCAAACTGAACAGTCAGATCTCATAAGAAATACAAATGAAGCTGGGCGCTGGTGGCTCACGCCTGTAATCCTAGCTACTCAGGAGGCTGAGATCTGAGGATCGCGGTTCAAAGCCAGCCCGGGCAGGAGAGACCGTGAGACTCCTATCTCCAATAAACCACAAAAAAACCGGAAGTGGCGCTGTAGCTCAAGTGGTAGAGCGCTCGCCTTGAGCTGAAGAGCTGAGGAACAGCGCCCAGGCCCAGAGTTCAAGCCCCACGACCGACAAAAAAAAAAAAAAAAATACAAATGACTAAGATAGCCGGGCACCGGTGGCTCACGCCTGTAATCCTAGCTACTCAGGAGGCTGAGATCTGAGGATCTCGGTTCAAAGCCAGCCCAGGCAGGAGAGACCGTGAGACTCCTATCTCCAATAAACCACCAGAAAACCGGAAGTGGCGCTGTGGCTCAAGTGGTAGAGCGCTCGCCTTGAGCTAAAGGGCTGAGGGACAGCACCCAGGCCCAGAGTTCAAGCCTCACAACCGCCAAAAAAAAAAAAAACAAATGACTAAGATACATGAAGAAATGTCCAACATTCTTAGCCATGAAAAAAGAAAAAACAGCAGGTCCTGGGCTCACATCTATATTCCTAGCTACTCAGGATGATGAGATTTGAGGATCAGAGTTCAAAGCCAGCCCAAGCAGCAAAGTCTGTGAGATTATCATCTACAATTAACCACCAAAAAACAAGAAGTGAAGCTGTGGTTCAAAGTGGTAGAACCCTATCCTTGAGTTCAATATATCCAAAAGAGAGTAAATTAATATACCACAAAGACAGCTGTGTAAATATGTTTATTGAAGCATTGTTCACAAAAGTCTAAGCCAGAAATACTTGTTTTGTCTTTTGTTTTTTCTTTTTTTTTTGTAGGGGGATTGTTTTTTTTCTGTCAGTCGTGGGGCTTGAACTCAAGGGCCTGACGCTGTCCCTGAGCTTCTTTTGCTCACAGCTAGCACTCTACCACTTTGAGCCACAACTCCACCTCCAATTTTTGAGTGGTTAATTAAAAGTCTCACTGAGACTTTTCTGCCAAGGCTGGCTTTGAACCCCAATCCTTGGATCTCAGCCTCCTGAGCAACTAGGATTATAGGTATGAGCTACCAGCACCTGGCTCAGTCTTACTTGTGTTTCTCCTATATCAGCTTCCTGATTGTTGGGATGTGCACTATCATGCTGAGCTTGCATTTCCCCTTTCTATCTAAGATACTTCATGAAAACTATTATTACCAGTTAACCTTTGATAACTGTTATATACTAAAAATAAATGTCTATATTTAAAGTTTTGAGGTCAAAGAAAACTTGAAAAGACATCTGTGTCATCCTTAATAGTATACAATAAAAGCCATTAAGTGTATTTCCCCCCAAAATAATATCAATTCTTATATAATGCAATCTGCTCAAATGTTTCATAATAAGTACAAATACAGAGATGGGCTCTGGTGGCTCATGCCTGTAATTCTAGCTACTCAGAGGCTGAGATTTGAGATCACAGTTCAAAGCCAGCCCAGGCAGGAAAGTTCCATGAGACTCTTATCTCCAATGAACCACAGAAAACTGGAGATGGTGCTCAAAGTGGTAGAGTGCTAGCCGTGAGCAAAAGCAGCTCAGGGACAGCGTCCACGCCCTGAGTTCAAGCCCCACGACTGACAGGAAAAAAAAGACTATTATCTCAACAGCTTCGCCATTCTTTGTCACCACACATAAAATGAAGTGCAACCTAAAACAAATTCTACTTATAAAAAGGATTCTATGAAGGCAACGCTAATAGAGTGATAAAGTCCTGGGTTTAGAGGGGGAAAAAAAGCCTGTTTTCAATATATAAAAGTGATCACCACTATTTTATTCAATTCCAAAATATGTCCAAGTATAATAAATTCTTTAAGTGCTATATAAATTCTTTAAGTGCTATAAAAAATTGTTAAAACTTGTTCTACAAGTGTTTCAGCCTACAAAAAAAATTCATGTATGAATTCTATGTCACAATTACAGAATATTTCAAGGTACTTAATAATTTAGCTGGGAAGGTGGCTCAGTGGTAGAGCACTTGCCTTGCATGCCTGAGGCCCTGGGTTCGATTCCTCAGCACCACATAAGCAAAAAGAAAA